TGTGGTTCCGTTGTGGACTCTGATGTGGCGCAGGCATTGCGGCAGCGCGGTGACAAGCCTAAGGCGCAACAACGTCGACCCGACCACTCAGCGCCACGTGCAACGGCTGAAAAAAATTAAAAAAACAAAAGTAGCAAATAAAATAAAGTGATGCAACCGCAAGATAATAAACATGAAGCATAGTAATACTTAGTACCACATGCTAGAAACATATGCATTAATTAAGAGCTAAGCAAGTTTATTGAAGTTGAAAATGTGTGGCAACGTTTAAATGTACGAGATTGCGTTTAATTTGTTTCAGGTTGTGCTCGGTGATTTAAAATCTATATTTTTTTGTTGGTATACCTATATGCATATCTTAAAAGATCCATGTCTAAACTAGCGAACCTTACTAACTTTTTAATATCCAACTTTATATAGNTGTGGTTCCGTTGTGGACTCTGATGTGGCGCAGGCATTGCGGCAGCGTGGTGACAAGCCCAAGGCGCAACAACGTCGACCCGACCACTCAGCGCCACGTGCAACGGCTGAAAAAAATTAAAAAAACAAAAGCAGAAAATAAAATAAAGTGATGCAACCGCAAGATAATAAACATGAAGCATAGTAATACTAAGTACCACATGCTATAAACATATGTATTAATTAAGAGCTAAGCAAGTTTATTGAAGTTGAAAATGTGTGGCAACGTATAAATGTACGAGATTGCGTTTAATTTGTTTCAGGTTGTGCTCGGTGATTTAAAATCTATATTTTTTTGTTGGTATACCTATATGCATATCTTAAAAGATCCATGTCTAAACTAGCGAACCTTACTAACTTTTTAATATCCAACTTTATATAGAAAGCATTTCGAAAATCCTTACACTTGCCTATATTAATTCATGTGGTATTGGCATTTTCTTGTCGAACGTCGTAATTGAAAATAAAATCCTTTCGTGTGCGCAAATTTCAATTTCCTTGTGCCATTGTGCTAAAACTACATACCTCAAACGCTAGAAAATGATTGACTTTTCTACAAAGTAGTTAAAACTTTACTTAAATTATCAAACCCAAATAGTAGAGGAGTTAGTAAAATCTGAAGGTTGGGTCTGATTACTTTAAGAGTATATTGATGGAAAATCAATATTTCGAAAACATTCAGGGTTGCTAAATTTATTGCATCGTCATATTCGTGATATGGAAAACCAATATCTCGAAGAAGATTCAGGGTCGCTATATATGTATGTACATTGAATTGACGCATCCGTGATACGAATCGATTTTAAAGGGTTTTCACCGACGAAAAATATACATACATACTTTTTTCTCAAAAATCAGTTTTTAGCGTGGCTGAAGAAATTTCGCCGAAACAGTTGGACGAGCGCGACTTGAAATTTCGACACGATCTTGTTAGATTTGTCAGGTAATGATGCTTGGAGAAATATTTTTGACGATAATTTCGATTTTTAAGTCACTTTGAAAAGTAAAATTTTTTACAAAAAGTTGTTTTTTTTTTGTGTGGCCATTTAGTCAAAAATCAAAATTTTTACTTTTCCTTCGATCATTACCTGTATTTATCTAATAATAATAATAATAACCACTTTTGTTTTTGGATTTGAGCTAAGTTGAAAAATCTTCCTCACCGCTAGACATCTTTTTTCCGAGGTCCTACTGGAGATCGAATACGGGAACAAGAGAATCAACATTTTTTAAAAAGTAATCGCGGAAAATATATGAAATACTGTGAATGTATATTAATTGCATTTATTTATTAAACAAAATGCTTCCTCCAAAAACAAAAATGCACAAAAACCGCTCTTTTTCTAAATTGCTATCAATTTCTAACCTTATATAGGCCTTATACATAGATCTCTATTAGCAGTGGTACATTAATTAAGTGATGATTTTCTAGTCATTAATGTTAAAGAAATATTTTGAGGATAGATGCCGCGGTACATATGCATTTAAAAGAAGTGTTAGAAAGTGATGGAACTTCGGAAAATATGCAGCATATTATTGTGATGCTTAATATCTGCTATTTCGTGTTAGTATCTTATTAAAGAGATTATCGCCTAAACTTTTTTTATTTCTGGCTCTTTAGAGTTCATCAAACTGATCAGTTTAAATCTAAAATTACTAATTCAATAAACTTGGAGATTTTGGAATAAATTGAATATTCGAAATGAAAAATTTCAGCAACGCGAATCTGAATAACTATATGTTTCCTTTACAATCACATGATATTTCTTTAATTGAAATGTTGTACAGCAGATGAAATAAAAGAGTAGCAACTTTTCTGCAACTATTTTATCAAGGTCATTGCAATATTTTATTGCCTTTTTACCACATTCAACGATTTTTTGTTTTAAATAAGGCTGTAAATCAGTCACATTTCCTCTCATTCACTCAATCACTGCTACGAATACACAAACAAATCTTACCTTCTAATGTGAGATTCATGCAACTCCAAAAGCTGGTTTGCATTGAGGGACAATATTTCTTCAACTCCAAGCGCAGGCTACGACCATTCGCATTGTCTGTGGAGGCCAATTGCACCAGAGAAAGCTGTAAGAGACAACACAGAAAATAATACGTAAATATATTTGTATTTTGCAGCTTAAATTGCTTTTCTCTAAAATTCAATTTAAATAAATTCACACATGTGACAGGCGCCAAAGCTATGCGTACGAGTCTATTCACGAAAATGTGCAATAAAATACATACATACTTGTATATAAGCACATACATACACATATTAAAAAATATATACATACAAGTTTAGGCGAAAATTGATTAATGTGCAACGTTAGGCAAGTAAAGTGGAGCATTGGCGCAAAACAAAATAACGGTGTTGAGATAAATTTTGTCAAATCGTGATACTTCGGCATGTCCGTGCCGCATAATTTATAGCTGCTGATAGTGATTTAAGCGCATGCGTATCAGCTGACCACTGCCGCAATTGGAGTAATAAAATTTCAATATGTGAGCTGAAGTGTATTCAAGAAAAAAATGCTAAGCAATTTTTGTAATCAGAGTACAGCGAGTTTTTACGCATTCTTTTAACTTTAAATAGATATTAACAAGGCGACCGATGCTTTAGTTTGCTGGCATTACCAACCTTAAAGCAAATAAAAATGTTTCTTCCTTTCCAAACCTGTTAACATAAAGAAGGATTTAACACTCTTTTCATTGACACCAGAATATACGCCTACCCTAGGGAAGATGACTATCTCTAAACTAACAAAATCCAGACTTTATAATAACTTTCAGATATCTCTTGGTTGGCTAAATGATTTATAGATTGTTTCTTGAACTTAACCAAAATTCTTTGAACGGACCAAAGTAGTCATAAAATTCGGTTAGGATGGAAGTATGATTAAAGAGCGACTGTGAGAGCCTTTCTACTTTACTCTTTAAAATGTCTGTGTACTAGTTTGTCAGTTTTTGAGATATCGATTTGAAATTTTGTACACGAAAATAATGTTCAGTTCGGACCACTCTAGTATATAGGGAAGGTATAATGGTCTAGAGGTGCCTTGTTGTACCAGGATTGTATATATCTAACCTCTACAATAACCCTCGAACAAATTCTACGCACTCAGTTTCTTTTGAAAATGCCTATACTAAATCTCTTTAGAGTGTATTAAAATCCTTTACTGCTAGTATGTTAGTATTTTCAAACCACAATGCTTTAGTTAAAACTACAATTTTCACATTAATTTGCTACATTAGAAATATATTTCAACTTGAAGGCGAACAATGTGCACAATCGCTGTCCGACAAGTCGTTGAGCGATAATTCGAAATTATTCAAATATTTTATAAAATTAAATACATAGTTTTATTGCTAAATATATTATCTATGTATATACCAAGGCTTGTTTAAAGTAAAAACGCTTGTCAGTTGCTTATTTATCTGTTCATTACACGGAGTTCGACCAAGTCATTGCGATGGCGACTTTTGCCGTAAGTCATAAATAAAACAGCTAATCGATTTCCATGCCATATAGATATATGTAGGTTTGTGCACTTAGTTACATATTTTATGTTCATGTATAATATTAATTACCAGCCTTAAGTGGGGCAACTTGAACTGGAGCTGAGAGTTCACCTTAAAGTGTGTGCCACCTGCAGCCGTTCCGATTGCTTATGCCTTGGCGACTACCTATAACAACAACACTGTGTAACATTGCAATAATTTATAATTTTATTTAAAATAATTTTATTTTCTTTTCTTGTTATTTTAGCATACGACCAACGGCCGACATGCTAAAGCGGCATTCAAGCCAATTCCGGTAGTTGAGACCGGGCTATTGCAAGCATATGCGCGCACTGCAGTTAAGATTTAAATAAAAACTTATTTTTAGTGCTCGGTTTATGCATGGCGAATAACAAAAATAAAAATTATAAAAAATGCATTATTCAAAGGCATTAGTCGTTAGAGCACTCCATATATGGATAAGTTATTCCAACTTGAACTACCAAAATTTACGGAATAAATTACAAACAAAATAGTGTTTTTGAAAATATTTGGTATATTGTATTTTTCGATTCGAATTCCATTTTGTTATATTGTTGTAAGAAAAAAGTAATAAAACTTCAGATCTCCTCGCCTTGACGCGAGTTAACGTACGCTCCGCTTTTGGTTTTTTTCAAGAGCTGTAAAGAGACATCGATTTTACTTTATCCCATTCTAAAAAGACCGTTGTGCTGCATGGTTTTGGGGAATACTTTCGAATTGGCTTTCCTTGGCGGGATAAAAATCCGTGGTCGCTTCAGTTAGGAGAACTTACTGTCGGAACTGAAATTGCTCATACCATCGGATTTTTGAAGCAAGAGATTGATAAGACACTTTACCGCAAGAGCCAATTCGTAGCCTTATTATCGAATCCATTCGGTAGACCTAACCGATGCTTTGAGCTAAATCAAACGCTCTATCCGTACAACATGTCAATTTTGTGCATCCTAATTTTTGGCTTACTTTCAGCAAATGTTATACCAAAACCTCATATATTTTTTTATGGGCTACTGCTATACATTACATTTGTAGGCTCCGAGCTTGTAGGCACGGAAAATTATATATTCGTTCTACTGATTAACATGCTATATATAAATATTTTTTATAGCGGCCAACCGTTTGACTATTTCGAAGTTCAATCTTCAACAGTTTGCAATGTTTTCAGCGAGGCCTTTCCAACAATCTATTTCTTACCGATAAGAATTAAATTTTTCTTTAAACACAACATAAAATGCATAAAATGGCTAATCTAGTAATATTTCTTAACGTTATGGAAATTGAAGGTAATTCACTCTAGTCAAATCTTATAATATTATATCTTAATTATCTCGGCGTTTTTGTGTGCTGATAATAAGAATAATCAAAATTATTAACAGTAGTGAATAAAAGTGGAACAAACAGTAGTACTAAAAGTTGTCAAACACAATTTTAGTTCGTTTGTTGACACATTAAAAATCAAAATCGTTTATTATTCAAACCGCATACGAATTCGAAATTTCGTAGTACTGGCTATAATCTATTTCAATTATAGGCATTTAACCAGACGCTTGTAACAACATCAATTTTAAACGTTGTTTCGAGCCAAATAGAGAACCTAGTCAACCGGAAGCGTCAGCGACTTACGTCTGCGTACAAATGTCACGTCTCAACGAAGAATATGTGAGAGCGAACAGTTATGACAATAAAATCGGTAAACAATAGTGTATATGATGCATTTCAGGCAAATTAAAAGTAATGTTAAAATTATTGGAAGACTATTAAAAAAAATTATTTATATACAAATAATTGTGCCTTCTCGCATTTTAAGTATTGTGCTTCGTTTAAAATATGAAAAATTATGCAACAGCAACATTAAAAAGTTACAAACAGCTGCCACCAGAATGTGTGGCTGAATTAAAGACGCTTCAAAATATTGTGAAGCAGAGTTGCCGATCTAAAATTTCATTGAAAATCCAGTAAGCGTGTTTTCAAAATCTGCTACAGTGGTTACAAATATTTTCGGACTAAAGAACAAAACCTCAAGACACTTTTTTGAAATAAATTCCATATATTTGACAATTCCGTCTCATATCTTTTTGAAATGCATGTTAAAATTTTTATAAGGCTTGGTCTTGTTTTTAAAAAATACTTACATAGCCTAATCGCAATTAGTTTCTGTCGACCTTTTCGGAACTTTACCGAAACTTGAAAGATAACATTGTAATTTCTAAATAACTTTTCTACGATTAAATCCAGAATATATTTAAATTTTAAATAACACACTATTACTTTGAACCTAAGAATGTTTTTACTACAAAGGTTGGAACAATATTATTAATATTAATTACAAACCATTGTAGTTAAAAATATTGAACCAAACAACAAAACTGTTTATCACGAAAAAATACCAACAAATGTTAATTCAACTCCACTAATTTGGCAACCCCGCTGCCACTACGTATACATTATTAAAATATATAATAATTTAATTTCTGCGTCGGAGCATATGTATAACTTGGTTTATTTAATGAATGCTACTACTTTATTCTAATTATGAATGCAAGACACGCTTATTTGTTGTACAAATAACAGCGAAATAAATGAAGAACCAATCTTAAAATTAGCCACAACAAACATGGTCGTCGAGTGGACAAAAACATTTATGATTAAGTAGCGGACAACTACTGAAGTGCCTTCAAACTATCGCTAGAAGGAGTGGTCAATGAGTAGCTGACGGAAATGCCGAATTCCAAGAAGTTACAACGGGTTATGAATTTCAAATACATCACGTTTCTTTTAAGGAATTTGAGGAAGATGTGTTACAGAATATAAAAGGACGCATGTTTGTTTCTAATTAATGACTTTACTAAATAGCGAACACAAGCAAAGACAAGGGAAACAAGTAAGAAAGAGATAGGTTCGGGTGCGGAAATACCTTAAGGTGTAGCAAAACATTATTTTATATATTATGGTCCGACCTGGATAATATATTCGTAGATTTTAGTGTTGCCTTGGACAATAATCCAAATCAAATAAAAAGGTACATACAAGGACTTTGTTTAAACTACCAAACTAACTAATTAAGCCCTTTGTTTACATAATGAAGTCAATGACCTTTTTGCTTACATTTTATTAGGTCAATGATCCCTTTGTTTACATTTAGCCAAGTCCCCAACCATTGTTTACATTTAGCCAAATCAACCACCTTTGTTTACATTTAGCCAAGGCCACAACCTATGTTTACCTTTAGGGTCAATGACCCTTTTGTTTACATTTTATGAGGTCAATGACCTCTTTGTTTACATTTTGCAGAGGTCAATGAACCCTTTGTTTACATTTTATGAGGTCAATGAACCCTTTGTTTACATTTTATGAGGTTAATGACCCTTTTGTTTACATTTAGCCAAGTCACCAACCTTTGTTTACATTTAGCCAAGTCAAAAACCTCTGTTTACATTTGGGGTCAATGACCCTTTTGTTTACATTTTATGAGGTCAATGACCCCTTTGTTTACATTATGAGGTCAAAGACCTTTTTGTTTACATTTTGCCTAGGTCAATGAACCCTTTGCTTACATTTTATGAGGTTAATGACCGTTTTGTTTACATTTAGCTAAGTCCCCAACCTTTGTTTACATTTAGTCAAGTCCACAACCTTTGCCTAAATTTAGCCAAGTCAACAACCTTTGGTTATTTTAGCCAAGTCCACAACCAGCCAGCCAGCTTCCGGTGAGGTCACCTCGTGATTTCTAAATCACATCACATCGATGGGCGAGAGTCACCTAAGCACCTGTCATGCACGGTGGCTACTTTACTTATATAGCGCCAGCTGAAAGCCAGCTTTCACTGAAGTCACCTCATGACTTTCAAATCACATTACGTCGAGTCACTTGAGTCACCTAAGTACTGGACAGACACGGCGCCTGCTTTGCTTATATAAAGCCAGCTGACTACCAGCTTCCTTCGAAGTCACCTCTTGACTTTTAAATCACATCGCAGCGAGGCTCGAGAGTCACCTAAGCACCTGCCATGCACGGTGCCTACTTTACTTATATAGAGCCAGCTGGTAGCCAGCTTCTTCTGAGGTCACCTCAAGACTTTCAAATCACATCACATCGAGTCACTTGAGTCACCTAAGTACTGGACAGGCACGGCGCCTGCTTTACTTATATAGAGCCAGCTAACAGCCAGCTTCCTTCGAAGTCACCTCATGACTTTTATCACATCGCAGCGAGGCTCGAGAGTCACCTAATCACCTGCCATGCACGGTGACTACTTTACTTATATAGAGCCAGCTGGTAGCCAGCTTCTTCTGAGGTCACCTCAAGACTTTCAAATCACATCACATCGAGTCACTTGAGTCACCTAAGTACTGGACAGGCACGGCGCCTGCTTTACTTATATAGAGCCAGCTGACAGCCAGCTTCCTCTGAAGTCACCTCGTGACTTTCAAATTACAATTCTCAACGGAAAGGCTAAATTTAATATATTGACTTGATGTGGAAAACGGCAACCAGAGGATCGGAATTCGTATTATTAGCTTTATATAAATAGCATTGACCCAATGTTATCTATGTTTGGCATTTATACTCTTAACAGAAGAAAATGCTTTATGAGTTTAATTAAGGAACCTCACTGCCATCAGCAGCACTGGATATTCCAACCTATAGATATTTAAAAAGGTTCAAAATATTTAGGAAATTTATGGGGTTTTCTAGCTATAAATAATCCCAATTAGCTGTGTTTTTATACCATTAACCGGGTATAATAAATTTTCCACGCCGGAGACTCACACTATAGAGTATGGTTCATATATAATATAAATGATCAGCGTGATGAGCTGAATCGATTTAGCCAGCTCCGTATATACGCGAACTAGTCCATTAGTTTTTGAGATATCGAAGCTTCTAATACGTCCTTCTCCACCCAATAAGTTGCTGCTTTGTTGGAACCACCGATATCGGACCAGTAAAACATATACATAGCTGCCATACAAAGTGATCGGTCAAACTTATGTCCTCATGTTATAAAAATTGCACCTGTGAAGGCTGATTTAGCTTTGGTGCAGCAGTTTTTTTATTTCGGATAATTTGAACGTTTTATTTTAATTAAATTTCAAAATTATTATAATTTGTTTAATACAAAATGCATTCAAGTAGTTATTTTGAATAAAGGAAAATCGTATAACTCCTACAAACCCACATATTTTATTTGCAAAAAAAACTTGGAACTCAATATGCACAAACTCATTGCGCTAAAAAACCTGAACAATAAAAATTTTTTTAAATCAGAATTAAAAAAGCGCAACGCCCGCTCAATAAAATTGCAATTTACACCTC